TCACAACCAGAGGTAGTCAACTGTCACAGCGATCCAACCTCTTGAGAAGACTGAAACCCATCTTTGATGAGGAGGAGCTAGTTCAACCACGCAGGTGTCACCGGGCTTTGTGAAAGAAGCAAACGTTCAGTTTTCTTTGTATTTAATTCAGCTGAAACACTTGCTGTGTTACAGCTTTCCTAGACACAAAGACAGAGCCCAGCTCCTCCCGTGGCTTGCAAACAGGGATGTGCTGCAGCTCCCTGGGACAGGCTGTGTTCCAGCTCTGCTGCTGAAGGGATACAGTTGTCTTCCTCCTTCCTACAGTCTCACTGTGAATTTGCACCATGCTGGAACTAGCAGGATCTCAATCACCAAGCGACTCAGCTCACTCACGCAGAAGAAAACTGACCTGACAACAGTTTTCTCCCATACTGGGGATTTGAACAGGCTTACTAAATTGTACAACCAACACTACAGCCTACGCCAGGGATGGGCTAACAACATGCAACAAAAAGCAGGAGAAAGGGAAGGAGAAAGATGTCTATCTGTTGAGAGCCACATACAGTCATGTCAGCTCAGATGACATGAGGGCAGCAGGCTCCTGCTGGTACCACACTGCAGTGCTTCTGCACACTGCCCTTTTCCACACCTTCCCTCCCTCAGTATTGCCCAGAATGTTCCTATCAGTACAAAAGAGAATAATTTGGATGAGTTTCACGAGGGTCAGAAGCCCTGCTTTTGTTTAACGCCCTAGGATTTTCTCAAGAGAAGGCTCTCCACAACATACGAAGGCTTTAATTTACAAACCCTGTGTATATTCCAAGTCTCTTGGAGGAGTGGACAGGCACCAGCAGAGCTTGAGACGGGGCCAACTCTACAGAGCCAGAGAAAGAGCCATCAGGGAAAGGCAAGAAAATACTGCTTCCCATCTATCATTCTAAGGGGTATAAAAGATCAGTTGGATGGGAAGAGATTCCACATTCATCCCTAGGAAAGGTGCAAGGGAAAGCAAAACCAGACTGCTATTTGAATAGCAGTCAAGAATGAGAAGGATTGGGGCAGTATCTACCAGAAAAATACATGCAATTCTGGAGCCAAAACGCGACAGGAGGTTATACTGTAGCTGGAGAGATGGTTAAAAAGATTGCAGCAAAGCTCTGCAGGGAACAGGGACAGGAGGTTAGGAGTTAGAGCAGATGATCAACAAAGAACAGTGCTGAAGAAGTGAACACGGTAGTCATTAAACGCACAGAAGGTGCTTAAGCAAAGTAAATAAGAAGTGTGACAAACAGTACGTGTACATGGTATTAAAGTTTGGAAGCAGCTGCTGCTCACGTTCATTTACTCCTACTGTGTGACACATACAAAAACTTAAACTTAGTAAAATGATCGAGTGCCGCAGCAAAAAGAACAAGATCCATGTGATCCAACTTGGCTATAAACACAGCAATAATCTAAGAACTTCGTGCAGGCTGCATTTCTCATCTAGCAGCACTGCTGCTCAGGCTGCCCCTCTCCTGCTTCTCCCAGTCCTGTCCCTTCCCCTGATGTGCTGGCACAGCCATCGTGCAGCCCTGCAGCAACTAGAGCAGGGCGCTGGTGTGGGGAAATACAACCCAGCCTGACAGAAAAGGAAAACACAATCCAGACTTACAGTTCTTCCAAATGAAGGAGAAAAAGGTTTTACTGATAGCCTCCCTGACCAACCAAGCTGCCAATGGGATAGCGAATACAGGATCAAAGGCATTTCTACACATCACTTCAACTCTCTCCTCCAAAAAGTGTGAAAACCTCAAGGGCAGACATTTCAGTTTCATGCTCCTGCACAAAGGCAGCTTTAAAATAGGACACTGCAAGGCCTTCTGCAGCTTCACCTACAGTAGCCCGGGCTGTCTGGTCTGAGTGATGGTAACAGAAGAGCAACTGGAAAGACTCTCACATCTTTGGAACTACTGTTACATTTTTCACCCAATGGTCTCAGATTTGTAACGAGGAACAGATCTTGAAACATTCTCATGTATGCTTATAATCTTAGGGGCATCTCTTCAGGGGTGAAAGAAATCCTTGAGCTATGCATTTTGCTTAGAATCACTGAGACTATCTAGCAGGCATCTGTGCTGCTTTAAAACTACTTGTATGTAAGTTTACAAAGCACAGAGTAACAGACCTCCTCAAAATGCTTTATTCTCTGAATCCTGTGGATTCTCTGGACTCAGCGGTGCCAGAAAGAGATGGCAGCAGCATCTCTGTTTGCAAACGCTGCTCTACCTGGCAAACCCCAGAGAACAAGCAGAGCCAGGGGCATTTCATCTGCACAGCTCACATGGCAGTTCTAGAAGCATGCAAAACCAGAAAGTGTTGTGCTTCTTCTCACCTTTTTAACCTCAGTACTACCAAGCAGTTGACAAGTTTTGAAGAATAAAATAGGTGTCAGTGCCTTAGAGCTGGGAGAAGTGCAAAGAAAATCACTAACCACGAGGTGGCCAGGTTTTCATCATCACCATGAAGTGCGACCACACAGACTGCAGATGAGGCCACACCATTTTTGATTTAGAGAAAAACCAGGGCATTGCCATGAATCTCCAGCTGCAAGCAGGCAAGGAAGCAGAGAGCTCCAGCCCAACTCAGCAGGGCTGTTTCTCTCGCTAAGGATTACTGTCTTTTTCATGAAGCTGACTTTAGATTACAAGCAGAAAGCTGGCAAGGCCTTCTCACTGCAGCAAAGCCTTAAGAAGTGTGGCATGAGTAACCCATCTCCACTTGCTAAGAGATCCTAAAATAGAGGTGAAGTGTGAATATCCCATTTGTTGCACAAGGGTGTCAACAGAAATTCCCTATCAGGGCCTCAGCTGCTATCAAAGCCTGCACCCAGCTGGCTGCAGCTGCACACAGGCAAGAACTGCTCACCTCTGAGGACGGCTGAACTGTTACTTTCCAGAACATTTTATATTTGATCTCGGGACCAGCAATAGTGACAACAGCTCATGCTTCCACGAAACAGGCAGACTGATGACTTGACAGCCTAAATTAGATGCTTCTAAATTTTCTGCATCAACAGATCACTCTCCCCTGTCAGACCATTAGTTGCACCCAAGGCAGCAGGCACCTTACCACCAAAGCCATGGGGAGGATCAGATGCAGACAACTCATGGGAGATCCAGATACAAAGCTGGGAAAAATATTTTTAACACTTATACTCTATCAATGAAATTTTTAAAGTTATTATATTCTTCTTTCCTGCCCTTAAATATCTGATCTTGGGTCACCTGACAGTGATACACAGCAAACACAATCTCTTGCCTGCTGCTCTTCCCAACCTGCCCTGAGAGGATATACAGAGCTCATGCAGATACAGCGTATGGGTTAGAAAACGTGGATCTGAGAGTCCTCTGCCGTTACAAAACAGCGTGTTTGGGGGATAAATAAAGTGCTGCGTTTCCGAAGGTACAGAAAGTACTACGCAAGGATTTACTGTCACATTTTTGTGTTTAAAATGAAGTACATACCCCATCAAACCAAGAATGAATGAAATACACCAGCTACTACAAAGCATTTAATCACCACCAACAGCTATGCTGCCCTCTGACATCCACAGATGCCCACTGTTCAGTTACAGCTTTAGGAACCCTCTATCACAGAGAGCAAGAAGCGATGTGAACACCCTTGGCATTTATGTTGACAGTGGTGGAAGTGACGGAACATAGTGACTTGCATAGAAGGAAGGACAGGCTATCCACGCGCTTCTGTGAATCACTAATATCTGTCCTGGCCAAAAAAATTGTTTTGGTGACTTACATTTTACTTCACAAATAAAAACAAACATATTTGCTGGTGATGGGGAAGGGACCAAGTACAGATGCTGTATTTCAAAAGAGAGTGCTTGGTGCTCACAGTGGGTCGGCAGTTGCTTAATGGTCCTAGGTCAGTTTCTAGTCCTTTATTTGAGAAACAGGAAAATTGTTTCTAACCCCGGGAAGAGATGTTTTCCATAACAGTGTTACTCCAAAAGCACTGCAATACTTAAAAGGGAGAATTTAAAAAAAATTAGAAAAATCTGGAAAGAAAAGACATACGGTCCACAAAAATAAAATACAACTATCTCCTCGCGTATACTTGAGAGGTGTAATAACCTTTGGGTAAAATACATTTTTAAGAAGATCCGATTGCCACGTCACTTTGACTTATTGCTGAGCACAGAGATGCGGATATCCAGGTTTGGAAGCGGGAATAGAGTCCTCTATCCTAGGGAACAAGGCGGGAACGGCCCGCAGCTGCGGCACCGGCGGCGGGCGAGCCGGCATGGCGTGGGAAGGCGCCGTCGTTGACATTTGCGATTAAGGGACGGGCAGAGGTCGGATCCCGCCGGTCGTGCGGCACCCGGAGCCGCGGGGCGCTGGCACCGGCGGCTCCCGAGCGAAGGCTGGCCGCCGCGGCCGGGCTCGGGTTCGCTGCGGGTTAAAAATACCGCCGGGGCGCCCGGCTCCGCTCGCAGGCGTCGGGCGCCGGCGCGGGGCCTCCTGCAGGCGGGCCGGGCTCGGGCCGCGCCGCCGGCGGCGCCCCGCGGGACGCGGCGACGGCTCTCGGCTCCCGGGCGGCGGGGCCGCGGCCCGGCGCGGCCGGGGGAGGAGAGCGGGGCAGCGCCGCCGGCGCCCGGCAGCGGCGGAGGGCGTCCCGCGCCGCGGGTGAGCGGCCGCCCCGCGCCCCCGGCCTCGTCCTCCCGCCGCGGGGCCGGGCCCTCACCGCCGCGCCGAGCGCCGCCGCTGGCTGCCGCCGGAGTGGCCCGGCCGAGCGGCCGCCGCCGGGGCCGGCTCCCATCCGCCATTATCCTTTGTTCGCGGCGCGGCGGCGGCGGGGACGATGCGGGGCTCGGCTCCATCTTTGAGGCGGGCGCCCCTCCCGCGGGCGGTGCGAGGCCGGGCCCCCGCGTCCCGCCGCCCGCCGGCTGCCCCGGTCCCCGCCGGGCTCCATTTCCTTCCCTCCCCCCCGCCCCTGTTCGCTGGGCGCCGTCCTCCTCTTACCGGTTGCGGGCTGCTCCGTCACTGCTTTCGTTCGCGCCTGGGATCTCGCCGCAGTTTTATTCTCTCCCCCACGTAACACACCGCGTCAAACTACACCTCCGCCGCGTCACTCACACACACACAGGCGCTCCCAGCCCGGCGACAGGCAGGCAGCGGCCGACTGAGGAGCGCCAGCCAGGGAGCAAGCGCCGAGCGCGCCGCGGCCCGCACGGAAACCGCCGAGCGCTCACGGAAACCGCCGAGCGCGCGGCGGGCGGCGGGAACGGCCGAGCGCGCCGCCGGCCCCCTCGGAAAGAGCCGAGCGGCCGCGGAAACGAACGAAGCGCCCCGGAGGGGTGGCGGAAAGAGCCGAGCGGCCGCGGGAAGGCGCGAACGGCGCTTCCGCCCGAGGCGGCCCGCGGGGCCGGCGCGGAAACCCCCGGGCGCTCACGGAAACGGCCGAACCGCCCCGAGCCGAGGGGGCCCCGCGGGCGGCCGCCGCCCCGCAGGGCGCGCCCGGGGCGCCGAGACCCCGGGCTCGCCGAGCGCGGTCCCGAGCGCGCGTCGGCCGCCGCCCCGCAGGGCCGCGCGCCCCAGGGTTCCCCCCCCTCCTCGCTGCCCCGCCGATCTCGGGGCCCGGGAGCCTCCTCGGCCCGCGGGGACCCCCGCGCCCGCCGTCTCCACAAGCAGGGCACGGCGGCGCGGAGCCCCGGCCCTCCTCGCGGCGCAGATCCGCCCGCGAAGCGCCCCGCTGCCGGCCGCCGCTAGGCCGGGGGGGCAGAGAGGAGCAGACGCCGGGCCGAGAAGGCGGAAACTGGAGCGCCGGCGGCGGCACCGGCCGGGCGGCCATTCGCGTCCGGCAGCGCCCTGCTCCGGCACCGGGGGGGGGGACGGAGATCGCACGGGCTCCTTCGAGCGCTGAACGGGCAGAGCGTTGCCAGGGGAGGCTCTCGGAGGAGCCGGCGCTGCCTCGGGGCGGGGTGCGCTGCCCGAGTGCACCGAGCGCGCCTCCTGCGCCTCCTGCGCCGTCATCTCGGGGCTAAAGGGCGCACCTCGTCCCGCAGCGAGGAGGGCCGACTTCACCAAGTCCTACAGCCCGATGAAAGCCCTACGCGCTCTCGTAGAAAGCACTTTTGTCTCAGGAAACCTCAAGATGGCACTGCAGAACAAGATTTGAAGCTCCGTGTCACGTACATCCCAGCGCACAGCGCGGTGCGCTCCTGTCCAGCCTTGTTTTCTCAGGGACGCGCAATGGATTTCATTTAGACATCTCAGGTAAATCCATCCAAAATTAAAGGCTGTGCAGAGAACAATTGCAGCTTTACTTTTTATTTCTGTTGATTACAGTTATTCTACAATAAGGTGAAATAAGCCAGAATTGACATATTTTAAAAAGGGAGCTCATGTTAAACTGACAGCACCTCGCTAATAGCCCTGTAATATGGCCACATCTCATTTTTCACTCCTGCTGCATTTGTCCCCTTTGGCTTGTGTGCAAGCAAGGAGCTTCAATGCTATGAGAACCTCTGTGAGAAAATGCCCGCAATGAGCAGAACAGACTTGGTGATCTGAGTGTCTCCTTTCGATTCCTGCACTTCTTTATCTGTTTTCTCAATCCTCTTCCCTCCTTGCGTTGATCTTGGTGTTACATCATCTTTGTTTGCTCCCTGTGACCAGCATGGTGGATGTTCTCTACTTGTGCCGGTTTCCCAGACCTGCCTTGCTCACCGTGGGGCAGCAACCTTGAAGGATCACAGCAGTAAGTTTTAAGAATAAATTCCAGCCCTTGAAAGGCAACCAAAAGGCACAGACCAGGCCTCAGACAGCGACTCCCGCTAGTAGCCCCAGCTGCACACTCAGGTGGAGTAGCAGCAGTGCTGCTGACAGGGCTGGGTTACAGCCGGGCCCTGAGCTATATACACAGGCAGGCAGCTCCTTGCACGGCTCTGATCCTGCTGCCCATTTAAGGTCTGGACAGTCCTCTGGCAATCCCGCTGGCCTTCCCCAGCCCTGCCCTCACTTGGAGCTTTCAGCAGTGCTCTCAAAGTCTGTCAGCTCAGCTGCAAAGGGCATCTTGCAGCGGTGGCTGCTTCTTTGCCAGCCAGCATAGGCTCCTCGTAGCACAGATAGCTCGAGAGTGCAGTTTATCTCAAACTAAAACAGATGCCTTGGGTAAGTCACATGCCTGGAGTCATTTGAGATTGTGCCAATGTTTTGTTTCTGTGGTATTTTCATCTCTTGCCCATAGCTGAGGCTAAGACCATATGTGGACTGGAGCTGGCTTCAGCCCTGACTCACACCGATTCAGTGGCAAGGCTGGGAGATCATCTCGTGTGCAGCTGCTCTGAAACTTTCTGGCAGCTGTTTTGCACATTCTTCTTTCCCTTCCAGGGTACTTGTTTTTCTCCTCTCAGTCAGCGTCCTGACCAAAATCAGGACACTAAGTAAAGCTGGAACTTCTTCAGGAGTGGGAGTCTGAGCCGCAAAAACCCCTTCCCTCACTAGCATCTGCATTCCTTTTACTGTGGTCTCTTGGGGAATTTGGATAAAATGGGATGGTAATGATGTACCAATTACCCACAAAGTCCAAAAGGGAGAGGTTGACTTAGGGAGCAAACTGGAGAGCTCAGCAGTTTTCACTTCATCAGTGAAAGTTTGCTTGATGATGAGTGAAACCCAGCAAGATTAATTACTTTTCTTACAGTTAAGCCTCAGGGGCAAATTCATTAGCTCTGCAGCTGCCAGGCTGATTATCCTGGGCAGTGGGTCCTCGTGCGTGGCTTTGCAGGTTGATTGCCCCTGGCCTAGGGTCTGTGGAGGCTAAGGGATGGCACAGAGATCCAGAAAGGCTGGCACCTGGCTGCGAGGTGTGGCAGAGCCATAGACCACAAGTGGCAATCTGGAGTAGTCAGAACTGCTGACGCTGGTCACACACAAGGCAATATTTATTGCGGAAACACAGAGAAATGTGCATTTTAAGCACTCTGGTCTACACACCACTGAGCAGAATGCAATACAAAGATAGTTTCGGAAGCCACCTCAGGGACTGATTTATAACAAAAACATCTTTCAACATCGCATACTCACTGCCAGTTCCCATAAGACCATTGTGGTCTGGCAGTGCAGGGACAGAGAGAGGGTGTTTTGTACGTGTATGACTTAACATACAGCACAAGTATTGCTGGGAAGAAAAGAAGGTAGGATGTGCTCCAGGGGTTCACAACCACGTTCACTAATGGATGTTCTCCTAAGGAAAGAAAGAGACAAGCAGATTGTTTGCAAATAATGAATGTGGAGGGAGGCAGATGTTACATTAGATGGTTAGCAAAGTGTCCAGCACATTTCAATATAACAAGCATTGCACTGCACTATTTTTGAAACAGATGCAGAGGAAGGCAGGAGTACCTCCATGTCTCTGTGATGGACGTTGCTGTTCATAGCAGACTGACCCAATAGTGACTGGTAGGGCAGAAAATAAAAGATGCTTTTCTGAAACCCAGTGGCAAGTCCCCCATTTTGATCTCTGCATGTGAGATAGATGGAGGCTTAGCTACAAACTCCCATGCAGAGCACTCTTCAATCATTTTATAGCCTCTCAGGACCAGCTAAAACTGCTTACTCATCAGGAGGAGGACAAAACCCTACAGGTTTAGTACCTGCCAGGGAGAAGAAGATTCACTGGGCTCCCTGAGCACTTTATTACAGAAGTAGGTCTAAATTCACAGGTACCTTAGAACAAAGTAACCAAAAATAGAAATGGTTTTCCAACATCATCCCACTTAAAGTTAATGAACTGCAGCTCAGGTCTGCCCTCCCTGCTCTTGGACATTAATCATTGCTAAAAGCAATAAATCTTCTAGGCCAAATACAGGCTTTACAAGCAGGCAGTTTGCATGCTCAATTAGCCCAAGGAAATTGGTGACTTGGGTTAACCCCCATTGTTTGAAATACAGAATCCTGCTGCTGCATCAGTCACATTTTTCCTGTGAAAGCAGCAGCCCAGGAGGGGAAATCCCTGTCCCTTGGTGGGGACCCCACTACTTGGTGGTGTCCCTTTCTGCAAGACTGCATCCTTTGCCCTCATCTCAGTGCCACTCAGTGATGCAGCAAAGGTGGGATTTTGACTGGGTGCAGCAGTGAAGATGCAGGTATGCTCTGTGCTGCTTTTCTTGCTTTGGGACCAACAGGGAAATGGGCTGACAGCACCTTGGTTATCAGTGTCATTGCACCGATAGCAACTCCCTCGTGCCAAAACCTGGTGACATTTTTCTTGTCTATTAGCTCTTTTACCACATACTTCGTCATTTGTGGGTATACCCAAAATCCTTCTGTTGCTTTAAGAACTACAAAAACTGATTAATGATATTGGCAGCACTTTACTAAAGAGTCAGGCACAGCAAATGCAAAAAGGACAGGTCTGCAGCTGAGATACCACGTGCTGGGATGTGACTGCAGGGTGAGCAAAGCCAGCCCAAAGCAGGGGAGAGGTCTCTTGGTGGGAACTTTTCCTTCCCTGTGGGAATTGGAATTTATCTGTGGCACACGGAGGAAAAAAATTGATGTAGAAGGCCTGGTGGAAGTCAGTGCTGAAATGAAAAAACACACTAAACCCACTAACTGCTTTCAGACTGAAAATGGGGCGGTGGGAGAGAAATTTTCAGGGAATAATTTTGAGATTTGGCCAGCTTTATCTTAGAGTGCCTGCAACGTAGTCTGAGGTTGGCTGCCAGGGATAATCACTCTGATGGTAAATACTGCATTTCTATTGTTACAGTCTGCTGGTTTGGAATCAGCTCCCATCATATAGAAAACATTATTTAGAGTGACTTCCATACTTTGAAAAAATAAAAATAAATCTTACACCTCTCTATCTGTCTTTCTGTCGTGTGAGAACCTAGCAAACATTCATCTGGTGAATAATTTTGGTGGCAGCAGGAAGCTGAGAGTCCATGCATGTGGTGTTTGGTTTCAGGATCAGCATCTCATCGTCTCGCTTTAGCTGATGTCTGTGTATGTTGAGCTGCTCCAGTTTTCAGCATGTCCATTTGATATAAAGTTGAGTTGCTGGAGTTGTGGGAGGAAGGGGGAAAATACTGGTAGAAACACCTGGAGGGTAGGCTTATTGGAACAAAACAGGAAAAAAAGAAGGTGGAAGAGCAGAGGAATTCTTAATGTTGACCTCCTTAGTTTTCCATTGCAAGTGTATGCTATCCATTGCTAATTTAGCTGCACGAGGGGACCATGATTCCTTTAATATAAGCCGGGGCTCTGATCTTTCTCTCAGCG